TGGAAAAAGTCGCGCAAAAAAAAAAAGAAGAAGAATTTCTGTGCCGTGCATGTTTGCGAAAAAAAAAAGAGGGCAAGTTTTGAAATGTTCATGCGAGAAGGGGGGTACACATCCCACAGGAGCGGGGTAAGCCAGGAAATGCATCCAGGGGGTTCGTTGTTGGAACAATATCACGCAAGAGTCAGGCAGCCACGCCGACCCCCTCCTTTGGGGATGGGTGCCCTCCCTGGGCATGAACGTTGCAGAAATGGCTTGTGTTTTCTTGCAAAAATGCGCGGCCCAGAAGCACGTGGATTTTGCCACTGTTGATCATCGCTTGCCGAAAACACGAGCAAAGCAGTTCAGAAGCTAGACCAGACTTGAAACGAAACCCAGCATGTCTCACGCTTCGTGCATGGATATACGCTTGGGAAAGAAGCGGGTTGGCGCGTTCGATCACATTTCCCGTGCGGATATTCTTGGCGCCCTGCTTTCGCTTTCGCTTTCGCTTTCGCCCGTTCGAGTCTCAGTGAAACCACGTGAAGCTATCTGTCAGTTTCACGCCTCCTGAGACTACGGTCTTCTAAAGACATGGGGAATGGTCAGGCAGGACATTTAGCATTGAATCACAAAATGTCTCTGTAACACACGCCATTGGTGTGAGAATGTAGCACAGTCAAGCCAGTCATCAATACCGAAATTTTTGGCAGCAAAACTTCGTAAATCGTCATCCCATCGTGTTGCCGGTCTGCGATGAGCATTTGTGTGAAATCATGCCCCCAATTCGCTGCTGAAACCCGTTTGATAGCGTGAGTGTGCCATCCATTCCGGCTGGCAAAAGTTGATGCCAATGTAAATGTACGATTGCGCAACTGTGTCCAGGTGGCGATCGGATATTGGTACATCGCATATGAAATCCGAGCATTCATTCTCCTCATGGTACCTGGCCACGCTTCATTGTCAAAACGCCTCCAACCAACAATGCATCGTAGTATACGACGCTGAACCACGTCCAAATTTGCAAGCTGCTTTTCGGATAATGGCAAGGTTGCCAATCCATACAACGCGGCAGGAGAAACCACCGCCTGGAAAAGCCCCAAACGATTCTTGAGGGAGACATGTGTGTATTCAGCAACGTATGCCGATGAATATGAAATTCACTCCACGCAACGCGGATCCGATGTGAGCATTCTACTGTGCTGCAGTTGCGCAAATTACCACAGAGGACGCGTCCAAGATAATGCTGCTGATCCTTTCCATGCAAAACGAAAATCATGTCGCCGTCCACATCCAAAAACGTTGGTGATGTGAGCTTTTTGGTTGTCAGAGTCTTGGTCTTTTGGGGGTTCAACCGTAATCCAACGTTGCGCAACTCTTGAGATAACGGTTCCAACATGTACACCAACTCGGACTCTGCTTTGCTGTGCAACATTAAGCCATCTGCAAAACGAATGTTCGTCAACCCTTCAACATGACCAATGTTGATCCCACCAATACCCAACCGATTCTTCCATGATCGCACAGTTTCCTCAAGCCCAGCGTTGAAAAGCAGTGGGCTCAAGATGTCTCCTTGTTTGACGCCGCGCAATATTTGAAACTTTCGGATGCCATTAACCGAGCCGTGTTGTCCAGTATACATTGTTTTCAAAAGCTGTACATATGATGATGGCACCCCTTGCCTGGCAAGTGCAATGAACAGTGCATTGTGTTCGATGCGACCGAAGGTTTTTTCAAATCCAAACCTGCAAGCCATAAATCACAGTTCCACGCAATTGATTTGCCACACATCGCGTCAAAAACAGCGAAAGCATGTTCGGCCCCCCTGGATGGGCGAGAGCCTACCTGGTCGGGCGCTTGCCAGTATCGGTTGCAGACGTGAATGCAACATCTTCACAAGAATTTTGTATGTGACCTTTAGCCGCTTAGCACGGCAATGGGTCGCCAATTCTGAGCCAAAGAGGTGTCGCCAGGTTTCGGGATCATGGTAAATATTCATTCTTTGCCAACATTTTGTTGTAGATGTCAAGCAAACATTGGTGTGATTGTACCTTGCCGGAGTTGCTGCAGGCCAACTGCAGTTCAGCAAACTGAAAAAGTGGAACGCTGTCGTCAACCAAGTTTTCATCAAACGGCTGCTCGCATGCGTGAACCAGTGGGTCATGGATGTCTGTCTCACTCGCAAAGATGTTTTCAAACAAGTCAGCAAAATCATCAGGGGAAGGTTGCTCACTTGTGGAATGTTGACGTTTCATCCCTTCCTCATGAATGATATTTAGCCGACCCAACTTGCAAAATTCGGAAAGGGTCTCATTGAGCTTGGCGTTTCGGCGTTGTCGCATATGACAACGCAGTTGTTTCCGCACCAGTTTTGAAATCCTCGTTCTCTTCAACGCATTTTTGCAATGTCTCCGCTCACGTAGCAATGCACGAAAATCTTCCCTTTCCCACGGACGGATGTCAGTGGACGGTTGGATGTGAGATTCTGCTTGTGCTGCACTGACACGGGCTCATTCGCTTTGTCTGCGACGTTAAGCGCCGTCCACGTCGTCGGTTTTGTGGGTGGGGGTAGCATCAATGCATCCATGAACGGGCCTATGATCAGAACCCATGTCAAACTCATGACTGGCAGCGGCTGCATGTGCGGAAAGAGAAACATGGCACAGCTACTTCGTCTGATTCCCATGCTGCTTTCAAATGTCCATGGTTCATGCGCAGGCACGTTTCAGTTCAACACTAAAGGAATGCAAACTTGACAGAATTGGTCCAACAGCTGACCACGCACCCCAATGTCTAATTGCGAGTTGAAATCACCCCACGACATATGAAACACCACGGCGACGGGCATCTGCCAGGATAAATTGCAATTGCTCATACAGTTGACGCAAATCTTCAATTCGATCTCCAGCATGAGAGACAACATGCGCAATGCGCATGCAATTCCTCAGGTCCACACACATCAAGCGATCACCAAAGACATGAACCCTCTGCGCACAAGATGAAAGTCTGTTTAATAGTTGCAATTGCAACACCAGCACAAGTTGAGGGCGTGCGGGAACCGTACAAAACATGCCCACCTTGCAAAACAGTTTTGTCGATGTTTGCCCTGGTTTCGCTGAATACAACGAGATCCCACTTGCAATGCTGCATCTCACCCAATAATGCTGCGAGTTTCTCATCTGAGTGAAGCTTCGCATTCTTGCTATACATATGTATATGCGCCTGGTTTGAATTCACATGCTCTGACGGAAAAACATACTCAACGTCTGTCGGCTTACCCACTGGAGAAACAGGTTGACCTGTAGTGTGCGACCTCACGCTTAAGAAAACCCCATTCCGCAAGCTGCCACTTCAAACTCATGAGGAAAATCTTCCGAGTGCGCTTTTGTAATGGGAGATCCTGAGCCGCCCACACTCGGTTGCCTTGCTCTGTCAGCTCGGCACTTCGGAGCAGGGCCGCGGCCGTATCGCGTTCCACGGTGTTCTTGAACTTCGCGAAGAGTAACCCTTGAAACGTCTGGGATTTCATGTAGGTGCCGATGTGTGGCGAACAACTCAATGCGTTCAACTTGTCCGACAACCAAGATGTTGCTTGTTGTAGTGAAGTCAACCCTTTCAGTCCTCCGACGACCATGGTACGTGCGTAGTCCTCACGAGGTGCTGCAGGGGGAGGGGGTAGCAGGGAGGACCATGTGACCCCACTTACCATGTGGTCCGCCGAAGGCGCCTCTGGCCCCTGCGCTGAGGAAACTGCAGCAATCTGAATGCAGCTCAGCACGCGCCATGAAATGCCCTTGAGAAACAAGAATGTTAGGGCTGGTTGCTGCCCAGAATCCAGCAAAAACAAGCCGCGTGTTCTGCCCGCTTGCACCAATGGAATTGAACTCAAGTTGGAGCTGCCAGAGAGATCCCAAGCAAGAGAATGCCCATCCGCCGTGACCGGCTGTTCGATCACTGTTGTTGTCGCGGAACACGCACATGGCCGTAGCGGCGTACCTGAAGGCGCCAGAAACGTGGCGCAATCCAATGCGATTTTCTACTATAGCCAAGTCACATTCCCCAGCTGAATTTCATGAGCAAGCGGAAAAAAATAGAAAACGACTTTCTCTGACTTGCGGCGGCAGCAGTCCTTGATGCCCGGGCCTTACGCGCTGGGCCAACACGCCGCCCTCCTCCACCTGCAAGCCCAAGTGCGCCAGGGTGAGCGATTTTTTGCGTTCATCGACGACGTTTACATCACGACCTTGCTTGCCCGAGCGACACCTCATGCCCTGCAGTCAGCCCAAGGCTCCCCATCCCGGCTCGCCAACATCCATGTCCACCTCAGGGAAAAATCGGGGGGGAACCGCCAGGCCTGGTGGCGGCCCTGCTGACTCGCCCTGCTGGACGGGGAGTTGGGCCTCGCCGCCGGCATCGCCAACAAGTTGGCGGACAGCCGGCGCAAACAGGAGTTGCTGCTGGCGCGGTTGCCGGCAGTCGGCGATTTGCAAAGAGCCTGGCTCATGCTCCTTCTCTGCACTGCGCCAACCTCCATGTCCCTCTTGCGCACTGTGCCGCCCACGGATGTGTCTGAACGCCACCCTGGCATTTGGCACACTAGCAGGCTTGTTGCGACCCTCGAAGAATGCTGCGGGTTGGTTTCTCCCCTTGCGACGGCTGCAACGACTCATGCAGGCTGCCGTTGATTCTGCGGCTTTGTGCCGGTGGTGGAGCCTCGGATGCGCTCGGGGATCATGGCTCTGCCTGCGCCCAATGCGGGGTCCTCGCGCACCGAGCGGGTGGAGCGGGCGGCAGCCTGCATTTGCCGTGAACCTGGCACGCCAGTCCGAAACCTAAACCTGGACCTCCCAGCCACGGATGGCCGCTGAATCGAGGTAGTCGCTAACGACTTGCCAATGTGGCAAGGACGCGCTTGTGGGTTGACACATGTTGACACGACACTTGTTAGCCCCTGCGGCGCGACGGGCAACCCCGCCCAGGCGCTGACCTGAGGCCCGGGCTGTGACGGGCCGCTGCGGACGTCTTTGCGGACGCAAGCCGTACGTAATGAGCCGTTACCGCTGCGCGCCTAGGTACGTGGCATTGTATGTGCCAAGACTGCAAACGAAAACAAAATCGGATTGCATTTGAGCTCTCAAAAGATGAAATCGTTGAACGACTGTGCAGATTTTCCCCCCGTTGTAGGTCAACTCAAGGCAAAAGCTTCCTGTTGAGACACATGGGCATCTACAACCAGTCTGCCGGCTAAGTGCTGAGCTGACCTGCTTTTGATGGCTGGTTTCTGTCACCACACACGTGGATTACTAATCGGAAAAGTTCCGATTGCCAGAGTTGTTTCAATTTTCCCTTCCTCTTCAGTGCTTGTACTTCACGCAGCGCTAAGCTGCCATCTTGGAAGGCACATGTGCGCATGGCGTCCCCAAATGGTAAATGCGCAAGGCGCCACAGCAACATCAGCTGTCGGTGAAAGCGGATGAAAGACATCATTGGGCAAGCAGCGTGCTGCATAACTGACTCGTTCGTCACATGGCTAATGTACGGATTAGCAATACCCAGGCTTTTTTCGAAGGCAACATATCTGCGGGAAACCAATTCTGCTCCGTTCGGGTATGCGCAACCACGCCGTATGCAGCAAATAAGGCAAGCGCGATGTGAGGCAAAAACCTGATATTTTTGATGTTGTGTCAACGTTGAGTGATTCCACACGCGGCTCAACGCATCAAAATCTGGCTCACGCTACGCCGTTACGCCTCATGTTGCCACAAGGCTGCAGATCTTTACCCGTCTGTTTCAAGTTTGGGTATTCTGCTTTGAACACTCACCATCCCTCCCTTGTCTGCTCCTAGACTGTTTCTGTGTGGGTTGAGATTCTGCATTTGTCTCTCCCGGTCCTTTGCTTGCCCTTCCTGCTGGACTTCCTGCCTCTGCCCGGACTCTTGCTTTGGAGACTTCCCCGTGTGGGACTGGAGTCAAGGTGCTCCGGCCCTGCATGGATGCAACCCATCTTCGCTTGTCGTAGCTCATCGCAGTTTCTATTGGCCTCTGACTTTGCCCCCTTGCCTCGGACGAAGCGCGTGTTGAACAACGAAAATTGGAATGTTTTTTGGAATAAGCGCTCCATGAATTTCCGGCTTGTATGGGAGCACGGTTCGGGCAAACGCAATGTATGTGCCAACAACGCTATCACATGTTCATTTCATGAGCGATGCTCGATGTTTTCGACGAAGTAAGGTGTACGCCACGAAAAATTGAGATGGCACATTTTGACACACTTAGTCTATCAGAAGTTTGTCCGAGTATGCTTCAACATGTCCACCCAATTTTGGAAATCCCACCGCATGCATTCTGTGAGAGTTGCCGCGCCTTGAGCAAAACTGTACACATGAGTCACATGAGCGCTTGAACGGTTCTCGAATGCTCAAGGTTAATAGCTAATGCTGGGGCCATCCAAACATGCAGGCCACCCGTCACATCCTTTCCTTGGAGAATCATGAGGAATGAGGGCTGTACTGCATATTAGCCGCGGTGTGCGTGAGATGCATCAGCAATGCGAGTAAAATTGCACATGTGCATGTGGATATGTGGGTATAAGATTATGGCGTGCAGCGGTTTTGCTTCAGCACTCTCGTGCAAGCGGGCAACGTTGTGCCATGAAAATCTTTTTTCAATGGGCAGGTCTGCCTCTCCATCCTTGGCACGTGGGCTGGCCCTTCCTGGACGTCGATGACCACATTCCGTTCAGTTTTGTGCCTGGCTTGTTCCAGCAGGGCTTGATTATAAGGAAGGCTTTGTAGACGGCAATGTCAATGTGTGTTTGCGCATGTTGCCAGGCTCTCCATACAAAGTTTGCTCTGTATCAATCCGCTTCAAAACGAACCTGGCCACGAGCACGAGACGGGCCAAGATTGTGATTTGTATGCCGCAGCTTGGGCAGGCACGTTTGAATGTAGATTGCTGAACACGCTCGGTGACCACGACCAACAGCATAATCGGATATAAGCGAACAAGCATGCAACGCATGATCAAAACCAAAAAATGAAGTCGTGAAATCATGACAACCACATTGGTGGATTTGCTGAAAATGCCAGTTTCGGCACCCAACAATGCATTTTATCATACGGGTGAATTAGAGAAGAGTAGTAGTAGTAGTAGTAGTAGTAGTAGTAGTAGTAGTAGTAGTAGTATAGGTAGTAGTTAGTAGTTAGTAGTTAGTAGTTAGTAGTTAGTAGTTAGTAGTTAGTAGTTAGTAGTTAGTAGTTAGTA